CTCGTCCGCACCACTCCTCCCCTCTTTCGTACCACCCCTTCCCTCGCTCGCACCGCCACTACCCTCGTTCGCCTTCCCCCCCTCCCCTCCACTCGCCCCGCGCCACAACCGTCGCAGAGAGAGGGCGGATGGACGATCCGAGCTCTCGCCGAACCAAACCCCCCACGTACCAATCCCACCGCCCCCACCACGAAACCCCTTCCCCCCTCCCCCCTTCCCCCCTTCCCCCCTCCACCCTCCACCCTTCCCCCCTCCACCTCCACAACCGCCTCCACCTTCACCCCCTCCCACGCCCAAATCCCACAACCCAACCCCACTCACCACCCCGCACTACTCCGCCCACAATCGCCCGCCCCAATGCCATCCAACGCAATATAGTCATCCCGCATATTCAGCGTCTTAATCCAGTTCGCGGAGAGGATGGCCGCGTTCGTGTATTTGGAATCGCCGGTCGCCTCGGCGAGGTAGGCGGAGAGGGTGAGGTAGAGGCTGTGGAGGGGGTGGGTTAGCGAGGGTTGGAGGAGGAGGTGGGTGAGTGAGGTTGAGGGCGAGTGTTGGGTGAGTGGGTGGAGGGAGGAGATGGGGAAGGGTGACGGGGGTGAGAGGGCGATGCAATGAGGGCGGTGAGTGGGTCAAGGGCGGTGCGAGGAGGCAAGGGACGAAGAGGTAGAAGAGTAAGGGTAGCAGGGTGACGAGGAGATGGTTCGAAGGAACGACGAACGCACCCAGTCGTGATGCTGTTGATGCCCAGGTCGTCGTCGTTGGCGCGCTGGTGCAGGGTCAGCGCGCGAGTTCAGCGTCGGTGAGAGACGGCCACGCACCCAGAAGACACCGCCGGCCATGGTTTCTAAGCGCGGGGTCAGTAAGTAAGCGATATGGACACAGAGATAGGCGAGAAGGAAACGGTGGACAGAGGCGAGAGAGAACGGTGGATAGGCGAGAGAGAAGCGGTATAGAGGTGCGGGCGAGGTGGATAGACGTGCGGTCAAAGCGAGGCACATCGCGTGTTTCTCGTCCCCGCGACCGACGCGGCGGACGCGCCTGCCACACCAGTCGTCGCACTGAAAAGCGCCACTCCAGTCCTTGGATGAAAGCGCGCCGCTCCGGTCGTCGCACTGAAGAGCACCGGTCTTCGCACGGAAGCGCCTCTCAGCTGGCGACGGAGCGCCGCTCCGCATCGCGCCGCGCACAGCGAACTCGTCCTCCCGCGGCGCACAGCGACCTTGTCCTCCCGCCGCGCATAGCAATAACGTCCCGGCGCACATAGCAGTATGGCTCTCCCAGAGCGCCAAAAGAAAGAGATGAAGAAAGACGACTCACTCCCTTCGCACGTCCCCCTAAAGCTCGACTTCTTCGTCGCGATGCGGCCCGCGTTGGCCACATCTTGGGTGATGACGCTGAGGAGGTTCGTTAGTAAGAGTTCAGATGCAACGAGCGCGAACAGAGACGGGCTACGAACGCGAACGGGGACGACTACGAGCACAAATAGAGACTGGCTACGAGCGCGGACAGAATTGGGCTGCGAGCGCGAACTGAGACGGGCTACGGGCGCGAACAAGGATTGGCTATGAGCGCGATGACGCACAGGTCATGGAAGTTCGTGCAAGATAGGACATGGAGAGGCGCACTAGGCCTCTCTTGAAGGAGCTCCTACTACATCGAGATGATGATGTGAAAACTGACACTCACTAAGTACTAACATGCTCCCACGTCTTGATCGCGTGGTCGAGCAGGCCCTGGTCCCCGTAGGCGCGGTAGCCGTAGTACGCGGCGGTCGCCCACCACCTGGGATGAGGGGTCAGCAAGGAGGACATGACGCGGGGGAATAGATGGGAGAGGGAGGGTCGAACGTACATCGCGTCGTCGTTGTACTGCAGAAAGACGGGATCAGTTCAGACTCATCACCAGTCGTATGGAGGGGAAGTGGGGCATACGGAGGGGGGAGGGCATATGAGGGGGAGAGGGGCACATATAAGGAGGAAGTGGCGTACAAGGGAGAAGAGGGCATGCAAGGAGGAAGAATGACGCGAGGAAGAAGAACAGATGCGAAGGAGGAGGATAACACGCACCCCCCACTGATCGTAGTTCACGTACAAGCTGAACGCAGTGTTCAGGCCCGGAATGACCTGCGACGCGTAGGCCGACGACCCGGCGCGGTAATCGTGGTTCGCCATGGAGGCCCTGCGAGAGTAGAGTCAGTACGAACCCAGCGAACCTTTGGCCTCTCGCAGGGCGATCCACTCCTTCCCCTCCACTCCCCTCCCCCCTCACCCCCGTCCCTCCCCACCCCCCACGCACGACCGGCCAGCCGCCACTCACCAAACATTCCCCGACTGCCAGTACCCGATCCCATTGAACTCGGCCTTCGCGCTGTTCAGCTGCGGGAACATGTACGCGATCGCGCCCTGGGAGATGCCGATGATCTCGGCCTGCGTGCGGTTGTTGCTGAATTTCTGGGCGGATGGTGAGTACGTTGAGGGCGCGGTAGGAGAGAAGAGGAGAAGGGAAGCGACGAGGAAGGTGGGAAGCGATGAGGAAGGTGAGGCGCGATGAAGACGGTGAGGAGAGATGAGTGACGGAAATAGGTAGGTAGAAGGTTATGGGGGGGAGAAGGACGGGACGAACTCACCCTCCAGCTCAACGGCACGCCGAGATCCTGCGCAACGGAGAGCCCGGCGAGCGCGAGGGCCGCCAGGCATGAGAGGCGGGAAAACATGCTGTTGGTAAGGAACGACGTGTCAGAAGAACCTGGAGGACGGCGAGAAGGATGAAGGGAAAGACAAGGCCGAGCAGATCAGCAGCGACGTCAAGGGTCACTTCTTATATCGTCTCATAACCACGAGTCAGAGTACCCGCCTCGCGCAACACTGCCCGTGACCTTCGGACGACACACCCCGCGCGCGTCGGGGACATGCCTCGGTACCTTGGGCGCAGAGTGCGGGCGTACGCTGGGCCTGACCTCGAACGGGCACCTGCAGTCCCCGAACGCTCGTCTGCAGTCCCCGAAAACTCGTCTGCACCTTTCTGACACACCTCTATGGCCCTCTTCAAGCCTTCTGGAAGGTCATCTCTATACACGCTGATCATCGACGCAGCCGTTCCTGGAGGGAGTACCGTCGACGATGCGCCCGCAGGGAATCGTCGAGGTCATCAATGGGACGCCCTGTTTTGGAGGGCGAGGACGCCCGAGGTGCCTCGGGGGTGATCTGTGTGAAGGCCTTCGTCTTTCATTGCACGTCTGAACATCTTCTAAGAGATGGGAGCCTACTTCTGACCCTCCCGTTAGCATAGGACGCCAAATGCCTACCTTTGCAGTCGGACTTTCGCGCGCGACGTCCCCAGGTGTCTCGTCATGTCCCGCCCAACGCGCCGCACATACAATTATCCTCTGTTGACTAGCGAAAGGCGGCACGAGTGCGACAGGCAGAGAGTGGTACGTCTGCATCGTCGATGATGGAAGTTCAAAACACGCCGCGAGATATCGGTCTAAGCGTGGAATTGATTGGACCTACACCACCAAACTTACACAAACATCGCCGGTTTCGATCAGAGCGTGCGCGTCCCGAGACGCGACGGAGGTGATGGCATCTAGGCAGATACTAGATATATCCTTTCACGTGTGAGGACGTGTAGCACTCATCTCAATGTCTCGATCCATGGCTATAGAGCACCCTACGCACTACAGTCGTTCGTGATTCGTGACATTCGCCAGTATAGGAGAGACGGTATGAGAAGATGGCACTAAACATATTAGTACGAGTCGGCTTATTGTACGCATGTACACATCCCTGGACGTGGCTTTCATCGCTCTCGCCCTCCTTTGGACTTCCTATCGGCCCGGGTGGCAGTCAACGTCATATGCAGGCTACACTGCTGTTTCCGGGACGATTCCGATTGTCGTGAACAATAGAATTCACGCCCTACGGTCTTTTGTCGGAAATGAATCATGGGTGCTCGCTCGAACATACCTTCTCTTATTTGGACGCCCGTTAGCGGTATGGACGGTCCTGACATGCCTCTCCAAATCGCTCCTCGTGTTGAAGCGCGATTGACAATCGAGCTCGCGGCACCAGAACGCCTTCAGGTTTCGGTGACGCTCCATGTGATCTTTTTAGCGCTTCAGTGCTACGAAGACAAGAGATGGTCATCGTCTGTACGCACCAGTTAGGTTTTTCTTCCTCGTAAACGTCTTATGGCATTGATCGCAGAGAAAGCCTCGATTTGGCGAACGCGCCGAGGCTCTACGCTTTCTAGCCGCTTGTGACTGGGCTTGTGAGCCGACTTCGCTCCGAAATGCAGCCCCGCCACGTGGGTTCAGCGTCATATTTTCGGAAAATGGGTAATTTGCCCCGGTATCAGCCCCAGACGAGAAGTCATGGTGCATGGCCATCGGGGCGCAGTCTGGCGGAATTGCAGTTTTGTTCAGGCTATCATCCGTGGACAAAGAAGACCACGGTGAGAGGAAGTGATCCGCCTCTGGCGAGGATCCTGTTGAGGATGGCTCGTTGCAGTCGAATGGTGCGAGATCGTCTGTAAGCGTCTCGGGATGGTCGATCATATCAAAAGTAAGGCCAATTCATGCTTACCCGCAAAATTGGCAAAGGATGTATGGGCAACGTCGCCCGGCCGGATACAAGGCGCATTCCACTCTCCAGAAGCCCAGAGTATATAATTCTCAAGGCCGCAGGCCGGTCGCTCTACAAAAAATCAGTCAAGAAAGTACGAGCAAGCCAACCGTCACGACGACATACCCCATACCGCCGCATCGAGCTGTTGTAGCGAGCCGCTCTGTATAGTCTTGTACTCGAGTGCTTCGCTATCGCAGGGTACAGTCAGCGCGATATCAACGTAAGCAGAGAGACCACACACGCATGATACATGCTGACAATGAAGGAGGCGTCGGTGCCATTGCGCTAGCTACCAACGTTTTAAGTACTGGCGATTTCAGTACACGCAGTCTACTGCAAATGAATGGTGTGTCGTACTAGTGAGAATGAGATGGAATCGGGCCTTAACCACGCACTGTCTGTCCTAGTATGATCGAGACGAAGTCCCAAAGTTCGCTCTGAAGGCGGACTACCAAGACTGCGCTGGGCCCCATTGTCGGCCACCTTCGCAGAGCCGTGGAACATACACGTGGGCAATCAATCAAAAGCAAGGAGTCTATATGGCCGTGAAGAAGCCTTCGGTCCAGCCGGGAACTTGAGTGCTCAATGACGCGATCGATTCGACGAAGGACTGCCCTGCAAACAGCAGGTATAGATTGTCGGTCGATGCTGCGCAATTGTCGGCAGGATTCAATGGTTGTCTGCGATGCGACCGTCAACGGTTGTCTGCTCGCGCGCTTCTTTGCCGACAACCGGCGCTTATGAAGCGCCGCTGTGTGGGCGCTTACAGTCATTGTCTGCTCGAGTTCCGCGTTGTCTGCAGAGATAGTCAGAAGGCACCGACATTGACAGTCGAGAGTTAACCCTCACCGTCAATCTGCATGCCGTTGTCTGTAGAGGGTGTTCGAGCCATACATCAGGACTACGTACGCTGGCGACGATGAAGTTCACGGCAATGAAAGTTGTCGGTTGCACGCGTTGAGGGTCATGATGCGGGAGGCTTGTATGGACAAAGCTATTATATTTCGGTCTATGACAGTGTATGCAGAGAGGTGCGCGGGAGCTGTGCTTTTTTGAGCACTGCAGGTGTTGGTGAGATGAGGAGAAAACGCCGATTCCATGCCGCGTCGGCGTGGCGGCGGGCTTCGGTATCTTCCGTGAATCAGGTGATCCTTTCGTGTCACGTTTGTCACGGTTCGACTTTACATCTACGACGCTGATTAGGATTAGTAGCCTGCATCCCCGCGTCGAGAACAACCAAAATCTGTGCTAAGCTCGTAAGATCCATAGTACACGAAGTAAGCTATACCGTGGCTTGTCTGCGAACAATCCCGACCACACCGGTAGTTACAGTGAAGTGGCGCGCGCCCGCGGCGCTCTCGACCAAGGTACTGTACATAAGTTGTCCACAGTTCTGTATGTAGTACAAGTTCAATTTCGATTTCAGTCCTTTGGTATGCTTCTCTTCCGGCCTGCAGAATTCGTAGTCCGTAAAATCCGTAGTCCTGAAGTCCTGTAGTAAGTACGATAGGTCCGTCGCCGATATATGTCCGTTGGTGTGTCCAAGTCCGAGATTCCGAGGCGAATAGCTGAGAGGGCATGAGAGTGCGTATGATGGCCTCTGATCGACGTCCCTTACCTGGCTATAAGCCATCTCCAGCAGGCTGCGCTCCCCTACGAGCGCATTTCTTATGGTGCCTCCTGCGCAAGGCCTCAGTGTTGTAGCGGCTCCCGCACCCCAGTTCGCAGAAAAACTCTTGCTTGTTCTCATGCACCCGTGCGTGATCTAGAAATTGATTAGACACGCCGACGAGACGAGCGACCTCGCGATGAGATTCGAGCTCACTCTTTGCGCTGAACCTGCGAGTGAACGTCGACTTGCAGTCGGGAGAGAAGGGGCAAGGGTATATCTTCCCACCGGCGCCACATCGGCGGCGCTCAGCGGCCTTCTGCTGCTGCGACGTCGCGACGACTCGGCGGGCTGACCCAGCAGATCCAGAGCTTTGACCTCTGGCCGAGGCGACAACCGAGTGACCATCGACAGCGCTTGCCGTCATCAAGTCGGACGAAGACGGAACCGCCGAGGTGAGCAGGTTGTCGTTCAGATAGTGCGGCCATTCACCCCTTCCAGGGAAAGATCGCGCGTCCACTATTGGCTGAGAGGTGCCGTCGACGCTCGGCGTCCCTTCTGAATACTCGTCAGTCACAGGACAATTTTCGGACGAATCAGCGCACCTGCGAAGGACGGACTCGTCAGCGTCGCGGCATGATCGCTGACAGTCGTACTAGGATCGAAGCCGAGTGGTTCGCAGAGGGCTATTGAGTGTTAGACGGAGTCGATACCGCTCTTAATGAACGCACCGATGTTCCGCGCCCCAGAGAAGCCGGGCGCTGAACCTTGACTTCCTCTGTCGGACAGAAATGGAATGTCGAAGAACGACGGATCGCCCAAGATGCTCGGGGATGGGCTGAGCTCGCTCCCGTTCATCGGGAAGGAGGACGCGCTGCTATCCCAGCCAAAGAAGTCTCTTGGGGTCCATGAGAGCGCGTGGTTTGTTCTGTGCGATCCTGCGAAGTCATCGGAGGATATTACTGACGGAGACGACCAACATTCATCCCCGACGTGCGCCAACAGATCCGACTCTGATGTGTTCTGGTCCCAGCCCATTAGGCGATCTTCAAGATGCTGCTCGGAGGCGTCGAAGTATCCGCCTGGCACTGAGATCGAGAACTCGATATGATTGATAGGGAGAGAAGGCGAGGTATACATACTTTGCGTAGTGACATGCGGCCAATAAGACATGGTTCGCGTACTATCGCTCGATTGACTTCCCAAATAGCCAGGTAGTCGAGGAGGTCGGGCGGGTATCGTGGGCAAGATTGTGTTATGAACTCGGTGTCTCCGCGCCAGCTGCGGAAACAAGAGAAGCGCGGGGGCAGATCGTTGACTCGCAAGAAAGGCCTGACGACAAAGCACGGTGAGAAGGCGAACAGTTGGGCACGAGAATCGGTATATATACTTGTACGATTGCACTTGCCATGCTGTGCTCATGCTGGTCCTCGCCGTATTGGGTAGAAACAGTGATGGCGTGGGAGAGCAAACAGATCGTGGGCGTCCGGTTGTCCCATTCCCGAGCGCGCGGTGAAGCACCGGAGAGATCATATGCCGTCCTTCGCAAGGCGTCCTAGTACCAAGGTCTCATCGCCAATGTCGTCACCTCGAATAAGACGCCGAACGGAACTGTCTCTTTCATTAGCGTTCATTCAATTTGTGAATAGAAAGTCCGCGCCGATCAGTCCTCGTGTTCCCCGAAGCCTGCACGACAGCGGCCCGTGGGCGATCTTCACGATAGTGCCGGTCAGGAGGACCACGCTGGCATCGATATGCTTGTCGATCGCTTTAGCGAATGTGAAGGTAATTAGTAGCTAGCACGATTTGGCGGTTTGACGGCTCACCTCGCTACTGTCCGCAGAGGTCTTTGCGCGACCGCTGAATGGATTGCACGGACCTCATAGCCACTTGAGCCATCTTCAACTGGTCACAATGCAGGCTATGTACTCCCACGCGGCCCGTTGTACGGCAGCGCAGAGCCTGAAAGGTCGATCAACGCGGTGCTTTGAAATGTGGGATTTAGAGGGGCAGAGGAATAGAACTTGGTGATAAGATACCTACGTTGTCGTGAGTCAACGCCTAAGGTATCAGATGCGGCGCAAGACCAGAGATTGTGTATAACAGAGATGCACCGGGCGTACTTGGTCTTTCCTTTCGCAACAAAGAGTATCAAAACTGCGTCAGCTTGGTGTTGAGCACTGAAAACGACGAGCTTTCATGCGCTCGTCGAGCGAGAGTACTAGCATATCATGCGCGTCACTGTTCCTTGAGGTAGAGCGCGTCGCGCTTGACGAAGCCTATGCACCGGCAGGATGAGCGATGCAATAGCAGGAATACCCGTAGGATGCACTTACCGGTGGAATGACTGTCGTCATGAAACCTTGTACAGTCGCCCGACGTCGACGGTTCCGTTGAGCGGATGTTGTGAATGGCAACGAAGAGGGGTTTGTTTCAGAGTTAAGCGCGACGGAGAGGCGATGAAAGGGCTCGGAGGTACACCTCGCGCCTTGATCTACACATATCATGCTTGTACGCCTGCAATGTGTTAACTCACGTTTTGAAAGTCCAAGGCTTTCGCCGAGAACTCACCGAGGTCTGCCATCTTCACCGTTGGACTCGGAGTAGGCCAATTGCGCAAAGACAGACAGTATGGTATGACGCACCGTGTCACGCGTACTGACATTGAGCAAGGAGGTTCGGTGCATACCGTGCCGCGCGCTGCTCCATAGGATGAGCGAGCATCACCCTGGTGTTTGCAAGAGCTGAAGGTACATTATGGCATCGATATCGCATTTTACTGCCCAGAGATTGCATACAATCTAAAGGTCACCGAGACGGTTCGGCAGGAAGAATCAAGGTGGGAAAGAAGTAAAGTAATCACTGCCATGTCGGAAGCTGTTCATTATCATGGACTGGACGCAGCTATGCTCAGGCTTCCCGACCGTATGCTGGCTTTGCCTTGCCGCCGACATCTCGAAGAGGCAAGGACTTTTGAGAGATGCTAGAAATGAAGGCGCGAAACGGAAACGAGACTATCCTGTGGTCTCGGAACATGACGGTTGCACTCAGGTCGTGTCAACGAACATCACTATTTGTGCCAGTTTGGCATTGTCGCACGGGGATTGCCGAACGTGGACCTACAAGTCGACAAAGCCGGTGCCCTCAGTCTCGCGCGACTTTCATCGCTTAGTAGGTTCCTCTATAGCACCTCCTTTATATAGTCATAATGTAGTCACTAATACAGAAGATTAAGGCAGGAACACAGCCCCTAGGTACACACATGTTCCGCCTTCTCGTTTATATCATACACCTCTCTTGTTACTGAAAGATCGTGAGTCTGACATTAAAAGATCAGCTTGAGATGATCCTCAAAGTATCAGCAAGAGCCTACCTTTGATGAGACTCACACCTGTACCTTATGTACGCGCTTGTAGTGGCCTGCACGCAGACTGCTCGTATTGAAGCGTCTGCCGCACTCTACGTGGAAGCAACGGTACCGTCGAGCATTCTCATGGACACGCATATGGTCTGTCGCATTTATATCTTAGAGGACGAACGGAAGGGCAATGTTCAGATAATGCGCGTACCCTTTAGGCTCGACAACCGAGTGAGCGTAGCTCCACAATCGCGATAGGGACAGTGGTGGAGAGTGTTGACCGTTGGCGCACGACGCGACATGGCGGCTCTCGTATGCGAGGGCGTCGCCACCATGAGACGCTGCGCTGCATGAAGGGAATCCCCACTGTAGTGAACGTGCATCACATCGCCGTTCTGCCCCCCAGACTGAGTTACAACCAGCGGCGAAAGAGAGATGGTTGAGGGAGCGGGTGGATGGACAGGTTCCGGGTATGGAGCGATTATGCTCGTTTCCTGTACAGTATCTTGGCTCGGATGTGGCGGAGTGGTGTGCTCGCCGTCCGCTATGTCCTGGCCGGAAGGCATCGCCGTGTCCAGGGGCAGGTCATACCATGCGTCGTGCAGGAGCGGGAGAGTGAAGCCGGACTGAAGATACGCGTTGTCCGCTCGAGCATCAGACGCTTCGATGTTGACGCGGGTCGACGAGCTTGTGAGGCCGGCGCGGGAAAGAGGGCGACGGCGATCTAGTCCATCCAGACGAGAAGGGACGATGTTGGGTGGGCGATAAAAGCCTTGAGATACACCATCTTCCCCAGAGTGATCCTGCAGGCAGTCTTGATCGACGATGGACGTGGCCGGGGGATACGCAAAGACGCCACTCATTGTCGAGGGAGACGGAAGGTGCAGGGAGGCAACCGGGAGGTTGTGGCCTAAAGGAACAGCAGTTCGGCACGGGTGTGCTATATAACCACGCTGGAATCGCTTTTGTTTGATCGGGAAAGCTGTATCTTGGAATTTGCCGCCCTGAGTGGAAATTAACTTCATGCCGATTACATGTCGATTGGTTGTTTGACTGCGAGATGATCAGCCCGGGTGACTTTAGAAGACATGCCTTCAGAAACACGCGACACTGACAACTAAAGGTGCCAGCAAACGCTGTACTTCTTGCAGACGATGACGGAGGTTGAAGTGCCGCTCAAGGGGGTTCTGAAGAGATGAGTTTACTGTCTTGCAAATGTCAGGTAGCATCGCTCACGCTGCTGAATAATGTCATGAGTACAAGTCGCGCGAAGTAGGTCAACGAGACGCACCATGTCACGGATCAAAGCCGCAATCAGTCACGAGCCTGACTGGGCGACTTAAAGTTAAAGGCTATCTACAACCAAGATTTGGCTGGATTAAGGCGTCTTTGTGTGACTCGTGCTCGCGACCATGCGCCTTGGAGCGTAAATGCTGTTTCTTCGTACCGAAGCAACTGCGATGGTGTGGAGGATGGCTGACGACCGATGCTCTCATCGGCGGGGATAGCGAAAGAGACATACACCTCTATACATCGATCAGTGTGATTTTCCACGAACGCCGGTTGAAAACTCACCTTGGACGCAACACCGCTGTCCGCCGCAGCGCTGTATAGCTACAAGCGCCGGGCGCTGCAGTCATCCGGGACGAATGTTATTACTTGTGGTCACGCCATCGAGATTGACCCGTTCCTTGGTTATAAGCTCTCGCGTCGATGACCTTGCGGAGACCTACAGCCGTTGCTGATCTGATGAAATGACTGTCGAGCCGCCTGGGATGTGCGTCGAAAGGAACGCGAGCCTCCCGAAGGAGCAGGTAATTGCATACAAGTGTCCTTTGCTCCGACTCACCGCCCACAATTACTCGCGAGTCGGGCATCCAACGGACCCGAAGGTGTATGAGGCGAGGACCTAGATCTGGGGGCTGATCTGGCTCGCGCTGCTTGCTATCCATTGGCTCGCTAGCGATCGCGCGAAATTTCCTGCGGAGAAAGCAAACGGCTGCTTGGAAACGTCATGCGATGGGCCTTCTGCGTCTCTGCTGCTAGTTTGCTAATACCGGCTCACGCCAGTTGAAGACTGTAGAAGAGCGATGACAGGATGATCGATGAAATAATATTTGTCGAGGTCTACGATCTGATCTTGGCTACGACGACGGCTTGCATCATAGGTCAGCAGCATGACTAGACGGCTGGGCTTAGAGCTCACCTGCGTCTCACTCTAAGATGGATGGAAGGCCACCGAGCGTATCCAAGAGCGCCTCGAAAGTCCCTCATCTTGTATCGTCGGGCGTCACCTTTCAGAGTCAACGTCGACGATGTTACAACTCACCTTTCCCTCATCGGCCCATGACCTTCAAGACTTAACATGGCGCGTCGAGAGGCGGGCAATCCTACCTTGAGCCGACGCGTACCTCCGCCTGGAGAAGAGAGGAGAGGACCAGTATGCACCAAAGTCGTACTTATAAGTGGTATGGATCAGCCGAGCAAGGTACTACATCGAAGCGCTGCAGCCTCATAGCACCAAACTAGTATCACGAAGCCTCACTTGAGATACTAGGACAGCGAGCACGAACCCCGCCCATAGGGTCCCAATGAGCGATAACATTGACTGCGCATGCGAATCTGCTCGGAATCACTAGTACGTGATGCCGGAAGGAGGGAAACGAAGGACGTACTAGGATCTACAGCCTTCAGCGCGCAGTGCCCTCCGAGGGAATCGCCGCACAAGACGGAAGTTGAGGCGCTGAAGGAGCGTACTCGAATGCCGATGAAGTTGGTCGCATATCGACGCTGCCGAGCACATAGAGCGGAGGTAACGCGTGACCGCGTGCCGACCTTGGAAAGGGCATTCGCGGCGCAAAGGCGCGCGCATCACTCGGGCGGACGATCTTGCAGAAAAATGTAGTTCGAGCTCGAGTGACATCGCTGAGGCTCCAGTCGCCTTCCGCGTATCCTACCGTGCGATATCTGAAGCAATTAAAGGCATGCCTCGTCGAGGCGATTCGTTGAGGTCCACAGTTACTTAGGTACGAAGTTCACGAGGGGCGAAGAAAAATACACGTATATTTCGCACGTATATAGACGACAAAGTATACGTATAGTACTGTCAATCGTTCAGCGGGGTCGACATAGCAAAGGGCGCGCTCGCATACCGGTGCTATCATGAGCAGCGACCCGGACCCCTGTTTCAGTCCCCGTCGAAGAAATCGTGTGCGTCGAAGCTCCACGGCGAGCGCGAAAGATGCGCTCGGAGAGGCTCGTGTGATTGCTCGATTCAGTGCGCTAGTCTTCATCGAGCACTGGCTAGAGCGGGCGGAGATCAGCTTTGGCGACATACAGTCGCAGTAATTGTCAAGGGAGAGAACGACCGCTGTGGAACAGGCGCTGTGGGGAACCCTGTTCACTAGGTACTCTTCCAGCACTCCTACTCCTACCGTCATTCCTACATATTTTTTCGCATTTCATTTGTATCATTACCATATGTAGCGCTGGGTAGATCAGCGCCTCGCGCGCGCAGCCTTAGGTACTCGGCTCGCGCACGACCCGCCTACCGACGCGTTTACGAAAATAGACCTTACCTTTCTTGCCTTCTACTATTTCGTCCCGCGCTCGCCCGAAGAGGCTCGCGCTCGACGAGAGAGGCTGGTAAGCGGTATCCGCGAACGGGCCGAACGTTGGTAAGGCGGAATCGCCGAACGGACGTTCAACTCTCGCCGAGTAGGCGACCACTTTGCGTTAACGAGCGTCGCACCGCGGGTGATCCCACGCGGGCTCCAGAGTTCCCGCAAAGTGGACACTGTGGGATCCCGCGGTAGTTCCCCGGGACGAAGCGAGCCTAGCTCGCTCGCTGCTCTCAAATCTCATCACTCACAACATTCTCACTCTTCAAAAACGACTTCTCGATCTTCATCCGGCAACGAGGTGCAAGAGCACCTCCTACGATCGGACGACTCTATTCGGTCTCCTCCGCCGCGTTCTCCTGGACGCCTACGTTCACCCTTCTCGCCTCACTCCCCGCGATCTCCCTCTATGTACTCTCCTTCTTCCCCCTCCGGCTGGCGAACTACTAGCGTCTCGGCGGGCGCCACGCCGGCCGGCTCCACGTCCGCGCTCATGAGAAAGAAGGGCTCCTCCGAGGAGATGACAGCAGAGAACGAGCAAGCGCGACTGCGGGGCGCTCTCGAGGGCGCCTACAACGGGATGTACGGGGAAGACGAATCCCAGCCGTCCGAGACTAACACCCTCCGCAAACGGATCGCGCTGCTCGTCCAAGAAACGAATCTTCAAAAGGAACACGTTGTCGACCGCGGTCTGTCGTCCTCCAATGGGCGCGCAAGATTCACGCTCCGCGCCGACTTCGTGACGAACATCCAGGAGATCACGCAACTCACGCAGCAAGTCATCGACCTGCTGCAGATCGAGTTTCGTGAGGAGGGCGAGGAATGGTGGCAGTTCGACCCCAGCGGGGCGTTGCTCAAGGGACTTACCGAGGCGCGCTCTATTGATGGGATCGTACGCTCACGAAAGACGCGAAGTACAGTCTAGCTAGACGATCCACACAACCAAACACCAACAACCACGATAGCAATGAACACGCTAGACTGGAGGCGCTACGAGAGCGGGCGAGTCCGAGTATTTATATTACTTGGGGATAGATTGTGTTGTTTATGCCAGTTCCAGACGAGCTGGACTGAAGCGAGAAGTCGAGTGGGGCAATCGGACGTCTCGGCGTTCTGACGAGCGCTTTCGGGTTTGATTGAAGTTCACAAGGCGGTTTAATGCGCTCGGAAGTTCAGGCTTTTTATGATGTGTAAAGTGCGGGTTAACGCGGTTGTGTTTATTTGGTGTGGTGTGTAGGTACTAGGGCTTCTCTGCGCGGGGCGGGAAAAGTCCCCGAATCGTATGTAGGTCTCGGTATATAACTTGAACGCGTCGTCTTGGCCATCCAGACCGCGCGGTAACACACAATGCCTATCTCTGAGTCAAAATCCAACTATAACGCCTATCCGCGCGTTCTCCTGTCCGAATAATCGCGCAATGACTGCGGTTCCTGGCGGTAGAGCGGTTGACTGGTCGGGTATCCTCCTGCGCCGCGATGCCGGGCGCGATTCCACACTTGTTGATGTTTACCAAGGCAAGGCCGGCCTGGTTTCCACCCGTTCCCTTGTGCGCGACGCGGCTCAGAGGCCTGCGCGGCGGGGAGCGTACAGCCTAGACTGTCGATACGCGGGGAGTGACGCCCTTGCCGGGGCGGACAGCGCTTGGCGGCGCCGACGCTCGGTTCGGAGTTCAACTCGGCGATGTCCGAGATCACGAGCTCGGACCCGAAGTTCCGGTCTCGGACCCGAAGTCACGTGTAGTCACGTTGATGGTTCGAGTTCCGCTTGCGCGGTGCTCTGCGTGTCTCCGCATGACGGCGAGCAGCAGGAAGGCTTGTCCGAGCCCCAACAATAATCTAGATTCTCTTGACACAGCAGGGCAAGAGGACTGAAGGCTTGAGGCGCGTATAGCGCGGCTACTTGATGAAGTAGGGCCCGCCAAAGGACTCGCAGGATGTCATCGACGACGCACAGACTCGTGATCAGGCGCCGAAGAGCTCGCTGCTATCCTTGGTCAGTCATTGCAGACGGATAATGCTGCGGACTAGTTGTATTGAAGGTTAGGAAGCGTGGCGCTCCTGGTTTTCTATGTCATAAAATACCCCCGACGCGCCCGTTGTACAGTCGCGACGTCGGTGCAGTATATACGGATCCGCCCATACAATCTAGACCAAGTCGACTATATATCGCTTGTTTATGTATGTTTTTCCGCGTTTTTCAGCCGCAGGGCGTATCATCCCCCCCACACCAATAATCTGGACCGTCCTCGGTCAGTTAAGGTGGATGGGTGACTCGGTGTTGTTACTGGGTCGTCGGGCGACTCACAGTCGACTGCTGCCGCAGTCTCTTGGTATGTAGTTGTCGGAGGACGGCGGGGCGCTAATTAAGCTTTTGGCTCACGCCGCATGTTCCGGACATGCATGGTCGTTTAAAAGCCGGCCGTGCGCATCTCCCACGGTTTTCCAACTTGTCCTGAACCACGAAGGTACGTCGCTGGTACGCGCGTGCCGACGCGCCGGCCATACTGACGGCGATCTAGAGATGACCGCCGGCAACGAAGGCCCACACTCGACGGTGCGCAAGGAGCACCAAGCTTTTGCCCGAAAGCTCCACCAGATCGAGAAGGATGCGCGCGCACTGCTCAAGGGCGAGGAACCCACTGTGCTGAACTTGGTGCGGGGGATCCAGCGCGATAAGAAGCGCGCGACGATCCTCAAGAAGAAGCTGGTAAGCTCCGTCGTGCCAGTTGTTTCCGGCGCTCGCTAATGCTTGTTTGTAGATATCTCTGTCCGACGCCATCGCGCAAGCGCGCAAACTGCGAGAGACAGGCCCCTGGGCGCCGACCGCGGCGATCCAAGGGGCGATGTTTTTCCTGTTCGACTGCCTCAAGGCATCGGACCCCGAGTCGAAGTGGTACGCGCTACAAGAGATCGCGCGCCCTCGGTAGGTCTCGGACATAGTTGAGTGAAGCCCACTGACATTTTCACAATCTAGGTATGTGATCAACATCGTGGGGCTCGATATCCCGACGCACGACGCGACACTGCGTGCCGCTGACCGCGATCGGGTGCCGCGAAGGGCGAACGAGGACTTGGTGAGCCCTCAGTGTTTTTATGGTTTCACAGCTGACTAACTACCCGCAGGACATGCTGCTCATGCAGCAGCCACAGCTGCCCGCCGACTACGTCGCGGTCGAGGCGAAGCGGTGCGGCCTCGGTGAGGTCAAGCTGAGTGGGTGCGCGCCCGCAACACCAGCCCAAAGGAGCCATCCAGGGCAAAAGGCGCACCGGAACGACAAGAACAAGGGCGCGACGAAGCGCAAGCGCGCCGCTAAGGTGCGCTCCCATTTTATTTGATTATTTTGGTGGTTCTATAGCTAACGCTTCAACAGAGGAAGGTTGCCACCGATTCCGATTCCGACGAGGCCGAAGTCGAAGAGCCGGAGCCCGCGCGCAAGCGAACGCGCTCACAGACGAAGGCCGCCGCCTCCACCTCGAAGGGCAAGGGTCGGGCGAAGGCGGGTCCGAGCTCGGCGCGCGGTCGGCGCGGCAGGAAGGCCGCTACGCCTTCGGACGTCGAGGAGGAGGAGGAGGCGGAAGAGCGCTCTCAGCCCGAGTCCGAGGAGCGCGACGTCGTGCCGCCCGTCCGTTTCCGCGTAGACTGGGACCGTCGCCCGCGTGATGCGGACGGTGAGCTCCTGCCCTACGTCGAGACGGAGGACGAGGCTAGCGAGCGACGCCATCGCGAGTTCATCGCGAGGGGGCCGGCGCCCATCTATGGGCTGAATGGTGACCTGATCGGGCTCACCTCGCCGCCTTCCGAGGACGACGCGCAAATGCTCGAGGAGCAGGCTGAGGAGCAGGAGCGCCTCGCCGACGAAGAGGAGCAGATGCTCCGCGTCAAGGAGGAGATCCGCGCCCACAACGAGCAGCGCATGCTCGCGGGGTTGGGTGACGACGACGCACCTGAGTGGCCGGTGGCGGGTAGCTCGGGGCTTCAGCCTGGCTGGACCCACCTCCCGGACGCCGAGGACGAAGAGGACGGCAACGCGGGGCACCCGGGCGCCGAGGAGGAGGAAGAGGAGCTTGAGGACGACGACGTCGGGCCCCCTGCTCTCCCCTCTCCCAAGCCCGCAGCGCCTTCGCGCTTCCCGACGCCGGAGTGGATGAGGGAGGGACCCTCGGGCGACCGTCCAGCGGAGTTGCTCTGAGCACTCGGCCGAGGTAAGTCCCGTTTTCAGTTCTTTCCGTCGTTTGTATGTCCTTGCTGACTCGAGTTGTTCCATCATCTTTCTTCAGGTGAAAGGTGCGGTATATAGCTCTGGATTGGCGGGGACAACGCGCGCGACACGCGCTTAGATAGTTGGTTTCTTGGGACTCTGTACAGCATATTTTTCTTGTGTTTTCTTGTGTAAGGTCTCCCATTAAATGTACTTCTTGTTTCTTGGACGATTTAGAGTGATGCCAAGTGACATGAGAAGTGATAAATTGTGCTGTGCGACCGCCTTAGAGGTCGGACAATTGAACGCTGCTCGGCGGCGTGCTCGCGTGGACTGCACGTGACCGTCGGCCACTGCCGGTTGTGGTTCGACTTAGCGAGTCGTGCTTGTTCGCGATAGCGGCGCGAAAATCTCCGTCGTGGAACGAGCTGGATCGGCAGCCTATCTCCCCCACACCAAAAATGTCGGCGACCTCGCCGGTGTGGAGTTCAGGAGCAGGTAGAAATTTATGAAATTGCGGCAGAGGGCGCGGATATCGCGTCCCTGACCGGCCGAGCGGTCGTGATATAAGATCGGAGCGCGCTGGACGGATGAGTCCAACCCACTACAACGATTCGTTCCTTCATCTCCCTCAATGGCCAACAAATACCAGCGCGATCTCTTCGATCAGTTTCTTGCGCTTCTGCCTTCAGCTTCGGCGGTGCTCAAGACCGCGCTCCGCGAGGTCGCGCACTGCGACCTTCCCGCCGCCAGGAAGATCGTCAAGTATCTCAAGACGCACGTGGAGGAGCTGCGTGCGCTCGACGCCAAGGTCGTCGAGCATTATGAGGGCAACAAGGAGAAGTTGGTTGCCGCGCTCGATGGGGTCATGGTGCGTGTTCGGATCGTCGCTGATCGCCTCCCATCTCACACTGAGCGTTGCAGGTCATCATGGACTTCAAGCAGGTCCATGACAAGCGGCCGATCATGGCCCACTGCCTGACCGTCTGCTACACGGCGACGGACAGTCTGGCGCCCGGGGAGTCGGCGGACGCCTTCTACCGCGGCCTCACGGCCACGAAGCGATCTCTGCAGGAGATCGTCTCGAAGGTGCGCCATCGGCGTTATTTTTCGTCTAACTAGACTGATTTATTGCTTTTCCCAGCTCAAGGCCGAGGAGACTGCCTCCAAGGACGCCGACGACGTCGTCATGCACGACGCCGACGCTCCTGCCGTGGCGGAGTCGTCGAAGGGCAAGGGGAAGGCTCGTCGCAACCGCAAGGGCGCGGCGGCCGGTCCCTCCGCCCCCGACGCTTCTGAGCCATCGGCCCCCATCACGGACAGTGTTGCTGTCGCGGCGGAGTCTGGATCTTTGAAGCGCTCCGGATCACCTACGGAGGGCGACCGTCCTGCTAAGGTGCGTCCATCTCTGTCGCTTTTTCATTGTGTGGGGCTAACCCAAGTTCCATCTCAGATGTACGTCTGGGACGCCTCGGCGTCCGGCTTCTCTCAGTACGGCACCCAAGGCCTTATGGTCGAGGGCATGTACGGAGCGAACCCGATTGCCACGGCGCTTGGTGAAGGTGCAAGTGCGATCTTCGATCGCGCGAACACCCTCGGACGCCAGTCGTACGGGGACGGTGAGTTCGATCTAGGCGTGGTCGTCCATAGCCTGGCGCAGGTCACGGCGGTCCTGAACGCGTCCGCCTTGAACCTTGGCGCGTTGTGCGCTGCGCACACCGCGATGG